ACCGAGCATGATGGGATACATTTGTGAAGTGAATGTAGGAGAAAGAGGCTTTGGGGGAAAGAAGCAGGCTTCAGGTGTGCGAGTGATCCGAGCGTTCCAAGAGAGAGCAAGGGTGGAAGGGAGAAAATAATGCAGTTGATTCCAGTTTGATTCCATTTCGTTTCTTTTATCTGTTACCCAGAGTGCCTCAGGGAAGCTTGGCTTGTTAGCATCGCTTGGGCAAAGAAATACAGGGTTCTTAGCTGGAGATACAGATGAAACATCTCTCTTTCTCCTTCCTTCTCTTGCTTTCCCCCTTTTACTTACATAAAAAGGTCAGAGTTTCCTATAGCGGTGGGGAGCCGTTTAAAGCGCACCTGATATTAGAGTGGAAGCTTGTCTTTACATATCTAAGACCTCGTACATCTGGAAATCATTGCATAATGTGCAGCCAACCAAAGCTAACTGTGTGTTTGCATGTGTGCATTTGAGAGCCACAAGCCTGTAGTATATAGGCACATACCTCCTAGTTTATTGGGTCAGTGCGTTCAGGTTTAATATGACCATGTAATTGCCTCATCTCTTTTTGACTGTGTTATTAGTGTGATGCGACTCAAAGACCCTTTTAGATTTAAACCTCTTGTTCTGTTTGGAGTCTCAGGGACCTCACAGCCATGAAAAATATACTATAATAATATTTTAATGGCTTGGGGGAAAAAAACACTTTAATTCAACATGAAATAAAGATGGAGCCGGTTTACTTTTTAAATGCAAGTTCCTGGTCTTATTGTAAACAATTCATCAGTGCATGGTATTTAAAAAAAAAAAAAATTATAATTTTTGTAAATTTTCCTAATTTTTCTTCTCACTTCACATATGCTGCATGTATTATTGTTAACCAAAAGTCAAATACTTATTTTAGCAAATTTGTATTCGGTCTGGTTCCATTTTATGGCCCACTAGCTAGCTTGCTTGGTTATTTATTTAGTTAGTTAGTTAGTTAAAATAGCTGAAACCAGTAGAGCCATTACTCCAGTCTTTAGTGTCACATGATCTTTCAGAAATCATTCTAATATGCTGATTTCATGCTCAAGAAATATTTTTATTATTCTGAATGTTGAAAACTGCTTAATATTTTAGTGGAAACGTGATACATTTTTTTCTAGGTTCTTTGAGGAATAGAAAGTTCAAAAGAACAGCATTTATTTGAAACAGAAGAACTTTTGCAACATTATAAATTCAATTCTAGGATTCCTAGTTTCATAATGCTGGAATATGCATGATTTGATTCTATGATTGGTGTGCACACTGTGCCTATACTGTGTATTGTTTAGTGTACAAAACAGTATATAGGTTATGTGTGGAACTATATATAATAAGAAAAAATTAAGAATTATATAAAAGAAATACATGCATTTTTGCCATGATTAGATTACAAACTATACCAATTGCAATAGCTTTTGCAGGGAAGTACTGACCATAAACCGAAACAATGTTACGAAAATGGGTAGGCTGTGGTAAAACAGAGATAAAGCTTCAGTAATATGTTTCTGTTGAGATTTGATTAAGATCTGATTAACTGATTTTTACAAATGTCAAGTAAAAATATGATGTTAATTGCAAAATTGCTTTTCTAATTTTACGCAAACATCATTCAAGTCTCTGTGACCACAAACGTAAAAAATGAAAGTTGATCTCAATAGGACATGAAAATAAAATGAAACAGCTGGACTTCAGCACCACGGACAGTAGCAGAACAGGGACTAATGGAGAGCAAGGTATGGTGACACCTGAAGAGGTTAACAGGGTTTAGTAGAGTCATTTCACACTGTGCAGTTACAGCATACTGATGCAAGACAGATGTAAGACAAAACAGAAAGAAAACTGAGAGATGGAGAAAGGAGAGTGGAATGGGAGAGAAGGGTGATGTAATTGTCATATTAAATGTAATTGATTCGGCAGAATGCGCATGTCATCAAATAATTTTTATTCGCTATCGTATTCATTTAAAAGATTCAGCAAACTGCCATCTATTGCCTCAGCATTTTCATAAGTGACGAGCGCCTGGGTTTGGCATGAAGGAAAACGTCTTGAGGGGTGCATATTGTACATGAGCAGTATGTCACTAAGCATTTCCGCACAGTTTATGCTGTTTATTTTCATACCTTTTTGCATCGACGGAAAACGAAATAATGAGTGGATGTTCTGTCCTCCGCATCGGAGAGAAAATGTTCTGTAATGGGTTTCACTTAATTTGAACACAATTGGGAAGTTATTACAGAGACGGATTTAGCCATTTGTGAATTTGGTCAAGGGCAATGCAGTCAACCAGGAACACAGAGGACTGTGCTCAATGACAAGAGCTTTGCTTTTCTGGAATAGAATCGTAATTTATGTGATGTAAGGCTGTATTGTGTTTTTAATGCTCTCACAACAAGTAAAAAGAGTGTGTTTTGAAGAGCCTGTGATGTACGTCATCACAGAAAGCTTTTGTTGCATGATTCTATTGAAAACTGAAAATATCCTGGTCATATTTTTCCCCAATATCAAAACTAAAACAAAATGGAAGTGCATAAAATTAAGCCTATTTTACAGACTATTAATATTGTTTGCATTTTAAGAGTATTGTTATATTATTATTTTTTTATGTTTTTATAATACTGAATTTATTTGGCTAATAAAAAATAATAATAATTTTTGGATGAAGTATCCCTTTAAATGTCATAGAAATAGGCTTTATTTTCTTAAAGCTGCAGTCCGTAACATTTTTTATTTTTTTTTGGTTAAAAATGACCCAAAATCAATTTCTGAAAATTTTTGAATCAAGTACATAACCAGCCAGTGTTCAAAACTATCTCCTTACCTTAGCCTGATTCACAGCGGTAAGCTTATAATATAAGTTTAAAAAGTTGTCCTGGCTAGTAGGCTATATCTCATGTGAGGATCCTGCAGGTGGCGAATCGTTTATAGCCTTTTCTCACAGCAACTGGAATAATTAAATTTATCATTTTGAAGGCGGATTGTAATTCAGAAAGGATTATGTGTTTCTGAAATTGTAAGTGACTGAAATTAGATTATATTCCAGTTTTAAATGTGCATCTGATTACAGATAGCCTACGTGGGATTACACAAGTTTTGTATTTTAAAGAGAACCAGTTCTAAAGAAGGATAATTTGCTTTTTGGGTTAAAATAATTTCTTTATACGGAATTCGAATGGTAGGACAATTAGAGATTAGACTGTACAGAAATTTAAATCTTCAGCTAACGGTAATACACACATAGTCACGCAATGCTGATGTTGTTAACTAACAATTTGAGAACAAAGTATAACAATAATAATCATTTGCACGGTTTGATGGGATATGAGCTAACTTTGCGACCGTTAGATTTAATCACCATTGGTTGCGCAATTTATTGTAATGCTTTTTTCGTCAGTTGGTCAGAACAAAAGTGACAGAGTTGTTACTTACTTGTTCAGATGACAATATCCAGTGAAAATTCTTATTTGGACCATACTTCCAAGATGAAGGCTAGAATCTGTGATTCCAAAGTGTGTACCATGTACAAAATAAAGCATTTTACTTTGGACAGAAGCTGCATTTCAAAAGGATTTCAGACAATTAGTACAAAAATAAAGATTTTTTTTTTTACATTGCAATACTACTCTGAAACAAACAAACAAACAAAAACGACTAAAACAGTCTGAAATCATGAATATACTACTGTTGAAATGTGACAAAATGAAGGTTCTAGTTTCTAAAGGTTCATCCGTGGTTCCAGTTCCTCAAGGTCACCATGACTATCCTTAAAGAAAAGCATAGCAAATGTGTTTTTACTTACTTGGAATGTTTCAGATTTACAGTGGCTAAAATATAATGCATTTAAATAACACAACATGAGACATAATGAGTTACACTAATAAAAGCTATTTTAAGGATCTGGTCAGGTGAGGTAACTGCACTTTTAAGGCAAGGTACACTTCTGTTTTAAAGTTTGGCGATTCCCCTGCATGTTTTTATTGTTGAATTATTAATTAATCTCAAAATCAATATACTGCTTGAAATATTTAATACTCATACACTCAATATATAAAAATATACAATATATAAAAAGTGTATTACTTCTGAATTGCTGTAGCAATAGTATTTGTCACAATTTGGGCTTTTTATTTTTGGCTTTGTACTTGGAAAGAAAATCACACAGAGTCACATCAGTCATCACTGTTCGAGGCCACCAGTACCTCAGTATCTCAAATGATGTAATAAACATAAATATAATGCTGGTTTTGTTGGGGGCACTTTGCAAAATCACATTATGTAAAATATGGGGCCTATTTAGGTTTTCGTTTTTTATATCTTGGTTATGAAGGCTACAGTAGATTATTTGACTGTCCTATCAGATTTTAATATCTCTGTATTCTTCATCTCCAGAGTTTCAAAAAGCAATTAACTGCTTTTATTACAAGCTCATGCCATCTCCTGTGTACACACACACATGCGCACAGCGATCCGCCAACACACACACGTACTTGCATATGCAAACATTATAAAACACAGCAGTTAATTACAACAATGAAACATAATTAGTTAGTGTATAATTAGTTGCACGGGTTAACTTCTCTATAGCAACCAAGCTTTAAAATGAACTCTGACTCATATTGACTTAACATCTCAATAATTATGAGATTTTCTGACAATAAATCTGCCTTTTAATAGCTCAAAATTTGTCTTTTGTCACAGTGGCATATGTGCCTGTTTGTATCTAAAGCTTTATCTGCAAAAATTAATGAGTTTTTTTTTAACCTACAGGGTCTGATGTGTGTTTATGGATTTACTAATTGAAAAATAATGTAACAAAATGAAATATTGCACCTGAAAAAGACAATTCTGTCAATAACTTTTTTATTTTATTTATTTTATTTAATGTTTTATAGGATGGCCAAATGGTTGATTAATAAAGAAACTTTGCAAATTTCTAAAGATGTAGAGACTAATATCTCTGTCCTCCTGTCTCTCTGCAGTGGACGGCTGCACTGATTGGTCCGTGGACTATCTGAAATACCGGGTGTTACACGGAGAGCCGGTGAGGATAAAGTGTGCTCTCTTTTACGGTTATATCAGAGCCAACTACACCCAGGCACAGAGCATTGGGCTTAGTCTGATGTGGTACCGAAGTTCTGGGTTGGGACATGGTGACTTCGAGGAACCCATCTCCTTTGATGGGGTACGCATGAGCAAAGAGGAAGACGCCATCTGGTTTCGGCCTGCCGAGCTGCAGGACGCCGGTCTGTACTCCTGCGTTCTGAGGTGAGAGAGAGGGACACGTGCACATGTGTATGTGTGAACACTTATACGCTTAGATATTATACAAATCCACAAGGAGACACACACTTTGCCTTTCGGACATTAGCCGGATCGGAGAACATGCTTAATTTCTTCCTTTGATGTTTTTTGATTGTCTTTCAAAGCCTTCAAGAAAAGAGCCATGCTGAGAAAATAAGCATGTGTGTATTAGTATCTGTATGTGTTGTGTGCGTGTGTGTGTGTGTGTGTGTGTGTGTGTGTGTGTGTGTGAGGGTTGTGTTTCTGTATCCAAAGCTTCTCAGGGACAGTAAAACTGGAAGTGAAATAAGTGAGCGACGGCAGAGGACAGTGAGACGTTCTGTCATCCATCAATCAAACACTGACACTCCAGCACTCTCCCATAATGCCGCAGGCCACTGTCACACATATTAAACAGTCAGGCAATTCTCCAGGGTCCTCATTTGCTCAGGTTCCGACCGACTTGAGGTCAAAGCACATAATCTACTCATCATATTCACTTTTGCATCACAGAATGTCACACTTATTGTATATGCGTGTGTGTGTGTGTGTGTGTGTGTGTGTGTACTGAAAACAGACAGACAGAAACAGGAAAAGAGTGAATTTTAAATACCGTGCTGCCTTAATTTCAAGCATTCCTGTAGGACATATAAAATATTTCAGTAATTATTAATAAAATATTCAGTAAAAAGTACAGTAATTATTTTTACACAAAATAAACACAGAGACCTGCTAGAAATCACTTTAAGGAATCCTATGCTTTCAGTGTGAAGGTGGTTTTAAAAGACACCTTATTTCTAAGGCAGCATCACATGTATCCTTTGCAAAGAAAACAATCCCAACAGAATGCATCAGAGAAAATAATCATCCAAGTTGGCAAACGAGTCGCAAGACATTTTAAAGAGATAGTTCTTCTAAACTTGTGTGATTTTCTCTGTTCTGCGGAACACAAAAGAAGAAATTGTGAAAAATATTGAACTCAAACAACACTGGAGTCCAATTCATGAAAATATTGTCTTTTATGTTCCACAGAAGAAAAAAATCATCATATAGGTTTAGAGTTGAGTTAATGACAGAATTGTCATTTTTGAGTAAGCTATAACTTTAAATAAAATAATATTGCCAATATTTTAATCATTCATCAGCAAAACATAAAAATAAAAAAAGTGAAAGTGAGTCCAACGGTATTGTCCTTTTGTGTTGTTATTGTTTTAGTGGTGGTGTGGACTTTCCTATTTTCACAGAATTATGATTTGGAACAATTAGAACATTAGAACAACGATCAAAACTTTAGATTTATCATTATAGTTATTCTTGGTATGAACAGCCTTTAAGAATATTGCACTTTTTAGCTTATGCTAATAATGTTGACTTGATTTAGCTCACAATTTTAACTTTTTCACATCAGTGTAATATGATGAAGTTCTGATGATTTATATGTTATTTGCAAAAGCAATAAGATTTAGTCAGTATGCTCAATTCATTTTGAATGGCCGGCAGTGGAGTAAACAACCATTTTTGTCAGCATAATTGTTGAGATTGCAGCATTTCTCAGCAGTGGATAAAAGCCTAAATGAACTACCCAAACATTGATCCCCTAATGACTGCTAGTTGTAAGATCAGTCACTTATGAGATTCCAATTCAGTTAGGATGCTGCCTAAGAAGAAAGCTGTCTATGTAGGCAGCTCACTAGGTTTAAAACAGAGCTATAGAGATTTGTTTATTAAGAACCCAGTTAGCAACAGGAAATAGGATTTGTTGTTGTTGTTCTGTTTCCTCTGAGACTGGCTTTGAGCTGATTAAACCATAAACAATAGTTTTCAGCAACACACCGGTAGGAGAGAGCAGATATATTAGTATTCTTTTTAGGTTTATAGGGTGATAAAACGAGACTGTGCTGACAAATGCGGGTGTCTGAAAATAGTGAGAGTGTAAAAATAGTCTTTGCTATACAGTTAATAGGGCAGAGAGAAAGACAGCTTATAGTTGTTGGGTTTTTTTTTTTTAGACAAGTGCATTGCAGGTTGCCCCCCCAAGCACTCTGTAACCACGGTAACCCGGTAGGGGGTGTGAGGTCATTACACCGAAAAGGTCAAATTTCAACAAATCTTATCAGCAGCTATTAAACTCAAAGCCCTTGGACAAAATAAACACTAATGCACTTTTAATGGAGACACACTCATCAATGTAGAGAAGTGTGTGTTGACATGCAATGCTTCTGAGTTACAGAGCGTGTGAATATGCGTTTTGCGGTTGTATAATTTTCTTTTACTGACTTTTATGCAAACAAAAAACAGGATCATATAATTAGTCTCGTTTTTTAAAGTAAATAAATAAATGCTCATAATAATTTGAAAACATACTGCTTTCAGAACTGCAAAAACATTTCATTCTGTACTTTCACATCTTTCATAGACGTCTTAAAGGCACAGCAGCAAAAAACAAACAAACATCCAATTTAATTAAGGGTCATAGAGAGTGTAGGATACTAAATTTGACATGTTTTTCTACTGAAAAACATTCACTTACATTATAAGTGGACCTCGGGGGAAATGGAAAGTGATAAAAAATGTATGAAATGAACCTTTAAAACCTTTAAGAGAACATTTAATTCTATTCATTGCTACTCATATTCCATCAGCAAAACACTAATTATTTGTAGCCCTACATGAAAATTGCAGACAAGTTCTGCTCCATCATGGTCAAATTACATCTATCATGGTTGAATTACAAATAAAATCATGTTTTATTCTCGTATAATTTGTTTAGTGTATAGGCTCTGTGAGATGATAACCAATTTACGATCAGTGATGTCTCTGGGTGCGTATATGTTAATCTGATTACAGATAGCACAGTTTATATACTCTGTGTGTGTGTTACAGGAATTCCACGTTTTGTATGAAGGTGTCTATGACTCTGTTGGTTGCTGATAATGACACAGCAGGATGTTATAACTCAAAACTGCGCTACACTGAGAAAGGAGAACTGGGCAAGAGTAAAGACATCTCCTGTCCTGATATCCAGGATTTCGTTCAGCCTGGAGAAAAACCGCAGATAACGTGGTACAAGGTACAGTGGGAGATACTCCGAGGTGAATTCACTAAACAGTTGCGCCGTTCAGTGCACAAACCAGCATCTTATTCACAAAACACCTGCGATCCAGCGTCACGGCAGCTGCCCCCTGAGAATTTAAATGAAGTCATTGTCGTTCTTTTCAGTGCAAACACACCTCCTTTTTATGCAAATTAGGGTTATTATACTTTATGCCAGTAAGTCAGTGCTATTTGCCGAGGGCAATTAACATTGTGCTTTTACTGTGCATGCAAACTGTAAACAGAAAATTATTTAAAATAGACTGTTTATGTACATTTTCAATCAATCATGCCAGCAGTAATTTATCAAATGATGATTATAAAGTGTTATAAAATACATTTGAGAGCACTTTCTGCATTTTAAAGAACCGATTCAGTTGTCTGGATTGCAGCAGTGACCCACAAGATCAGGAACTCCAGTCTGCAAATTGTTTAGCACTGATTTTTCTGGGCCATGTTTGTGCCGTTGCTTGATTTGCATGCTGTCAGCAAGCGCAGTTTATTCTTATTGAATTCCCCTCTGAGTTTTTTCATTATGACGGTATATGCAGATGTATATGGTGCCGTTTTGTCTCTTTGTTTCTATATATTTTTTTCTCTTTTTCTCTTTGCCTGCGGGTGTGCAGGAGTGTAACGTGCAGCAGTGGAGGAGCAGCGTGCTGCAGACCGCAGACATGCTCTCCATACAGGAAGTGAAGGAGGATGACATCGGCAACTACACCTGTGAGCTGGTTTTTGGAGGCTTCCAGGTGCGGAGGACGACCTATCTGAGCGTGACAGGTAGTACAGTGTGATGTCTCTTCAGTGTGCGTCTGTGGGTGAGAGCACTTGCTGTGATACCCGGTTGTTTTTTGAAGCGTGGTCTTCCTTTTGCTTCTTATTTGGTTTCAGTTGCATTCACTGTGCTGTGCTTTTGTTAACAGTGACTTTCCTGCCTGTGTCATTAATGCACAAGTTTTTCAGTGAATGACAACTTTTAAGTCTGTTCCTCATAAAAAGCTTTCATATGATTTCAGAAGATTCAAAATATAGTGCATGAGTCATATGGACTACTTTGTGTGGTTTTCGGAGCTTAATAGTCAGAGTCATCATCCATCATTTGTATCATTTTGTGTTCCATGAATGAAAAAAAAATAATACGATTTAGAATGAGAGTCTGATTGTTTCTTTCATTCATTTTTTGGATTTTTTTGAAGAAATTTTCTAATCTATAATCAAAAAGTTAGATGTATTTTTGCAACACAGAATGTATACAGAAAATAATTGAACAATGTAGGATAGTTGCAAAAAGTTTTTTTATTTCATTAGTTTTAATTATGGTAACTATTTCTTATTCAAAGAAAAAAGTGAATACAATGAAACCACAAACATTAAGTAAACCCCATCCTGCATTGTGACTGTTCACCTCTGACCCATACAGCAAGAAAGGCAGTTGCTTTTCAAGATTAAAGGGATTGTTTGCCCAAAAATGAAATTGTGTTATTATATACTAAGTGTCACGTCATTCCAAACCCCTATGAAATTCTTTACTACAAGGAATACAAAGATTTCATTACATGAAATACATCCGGAAATTTCAAACAGATTTTTAATCTCTTTTAAAACTAGATTTGATCAAGTGGTATTTACCAGATGTCGCATAGGTCATACAAGACTGACTCGAGCATTTTTGCTTAAAGGTGAAGGCCCTACTCAATGCATGTTCTGCAAGATTCCCCTTTTTGTCAAACATATTTTATTGGACTGTCCAGCTTTTAATGTATGGAGAAAACTCTTTTATGAAGTGAACTCACTTAAAGATTTATTTAGTATAATTTTGGCAGAAAATGTTTCAGAATTTGTATCATATGTTAATGTTAAAAATCTTGTGTAATATAACTTATGTTTGCTTGTTTGCTGGTTTTTATTGTATTTGTTATACTTATTTTTTAATTGTTTTTGAAAATAGCCTTAGATGCTGACATAGCATTAAATAAATATATACTACTACTAGATATCAGTCACAGAAGCTGATTATTATAGTAATGGGGCAGAGAAATAGTTCAAGCTATTGTAATAGTTCCAGCTATCCTGCATGTTGACCTGGCCGGTCTGCTGCCCTCTCTCTCACCCAGTGATTCATCATGCTTTGCCTGTAGTCGAAGAAAAAAACATATCGTTTTACAAAGACACAGAAAAAAAAGAAAAAAATGTAGCTGAGCATTCACTGTGCTGTGCTTTTGTTAACAGTGACTTTCCTGCCTGTGTCATTAATGCACAAGTTTTTCAGTGAATGACAACTTTTAAGTCTGTTCCTCATAAAAAGCTTTCATATGATTTCAGAAGATTCAAAATATAGTGCATGAGTCATATGGACTACTTTGTGTGGTTTTCGGAGCTTAATAGTCAGAGTCATCATCCATCATTTGTATCATTTTGTGTTCCATGAATGAAAAAAAAATAATACGATTTAGAATGAGAGTCTGATTGTTTCTTTCATTCATTTTTTGGATTTTTTTGAAGAAATTTTCTAATCTATAATCAAAAAGTTAGATGTATTTTTGCAACACAGAATGTATACAGAAAATAATTGAACAATGTAGGATAGTTGCAAAAAGTTTTTTTATTTCATTAGTTTTAATTATGGTAACTATTTCTTATTCAAAGAAAAAAGTGAATACAATGAAACCACAAACATTAAGTAAACCCCATCCTGCATTGTGAGTTAAGGCCTGTTCACACCAAGGACGATAACTATAAAGATAACGATATAGTTCTAAAAATCGTTCTCAATATTAAAGAATAGCAGAGTCCACATCACAGCTATAACGATAAAGACGCAGAGAAACGATATAGTTGGAATCACTTCCAGAACGATTTTTTTCCAGCTGAGGAACGATACACTGACGCCCAATCAGAATCCATCATGCTATAATGAGCTCGTTATAGCAGGATGGATTCTGATTGGGTGTCAATGTTTGTATAGTTCATCAGCTGCAAAAAAAAATCATTCTGAAAGTCGTTATCGATAGTTCAAGCTATTGTAATAGTTCCAGCTATCCTGCATGTTGACCTGGCCGGTCTGCTGCCCTCTCTCTCACCCAGTGATTCATCATGCTTTGCCTGTAGTCGAAGAAAAAAACATATCGTTTTACAAAGACACAGAAAAAAAAGAAAAAAATGTAGCTGAAAGTTTTTTTTTTAATTAGATAAATGGCAACAGAGAATATAAAATCATTAGAAATGGTTGAGGTGCTCAGTAATGAATACAAGCATCAGATTTTTTTCGCAGTGAGGAACACTTAATGGGACAAATCATGTTTTTTGATATCACTTCATTATATTCATTATATAAGGCTATCAAATAATGTGTCTGAAACCAGCGGTTTGTGAGGGAAATTTTATTTATGTAGGTATTTTCCCTCATAGACCACTAGTAATAATATAATATAATATAATATAACAACTACCTTACTAACTATTAATAAGCAGCAAATTAAGTATTAATGGTTTGTTAATACCAAGAATTGGACATTAAATTAAAGTGTGACCTATAATATAATATAATATAATATTATATTATATTATATAAAAAAAAAGATTCAGCTAAAGAAGAGTAACTTTAGAGTGTCAGAGACTTCCAAACACTTTTTATTTTATAGCACCATTCAGTTTATCAAAACTACAATGTAATTGAATTATTCATTATTCTGGTTACTCATTATTATTTTATTTTACTTCAGGCCTTTGCTTTGAGCATGCCTTGGTAACCACAGGCTATATAAATTCTCTTTTTACATATTAAAGTTGGTTTCAGATCTCAATAAAATTCAAATTTTCAAATGAATAAGAATGTCCTTGAAACTACAGTAATTTCACCTATTTAAAAAAAAAATCACAAATTGTCCTAGTCAGCAATGCGATTAAAATAGAGACCAAATGGAGACTTTTAATTAAGCTAACCTGCTTCTGAGAAAAAAAAGACCCCTATAATCTCTTATTTGTCACTTTTTTTAATTTCTGCTTAGGAATTTTAGAAGACTTTTAGAAGAGGCGTCCAGCTTCCGGATGCAGAGCTGTGTGTGCACGATCTGGATGAAGTAGCGCTTGCAATATTAGCGTCCACACCAGCGGACGATATCGTCTGTTTATTCTAAGTGCACACTTGTCTGCCGGATGACATGTAAGTTGCCTTTATATTTTATGACTTCTGAAATGTCTTTTTTCTGTTTCTCATCGTAAATTGTATGGTAAATCATAGTTTTTACATGCAAAGAGCATTAATTTGACTAAACCTTTTAACTGTTACAGTATCTTTTTTACAGTTTATGGATAAAATATGCAAAGAATGTTTTGCCCAGACTGGCACCATGCACATTTTCTTCAGAAAAGTTTCATTTAGTGCCACAGAAATTACAAACTGCAGCTTTAAATACAGTCATTTTAATGATAGATGTGGTGATGAAGTGGTTAATGTTAACACAGCTTTTTTTATTATTAATATTAATATTAATATTATTCATAAGCTTTTGGCCTTTAGGATAGTCGAGAGAGACAATGAGGGGGAATGAGATCGAATTATGACACAAGGCCAGACCTGTGTTCCCGTGAGCAAAACTGCTCATATGTGTCGTGAACATGTGCACTACCCACTACACACATTTGACCTCTATTACTGCTCTACTCACACAATAACAGAGATAGAGAGAGAGATCGAGAATTACATTTATACACACACAACGCTAAGACGGCAACGGAAAGGTCATTTTCGTCTATATTTTTATGTTTAAACATATCTGTCTACCATTAAACAGATTCTTATTGGTCCCTTGCGAATTCGGTCCTTTCTGCCACTATAGCAGGTCAATAAAATGGCACGTACAGGTGAAAAGAGGTCAGACGTTATTCTCTCTCCCTTTCTAAGCCCTCATTCAGTTGAAACCTATTAAAACACTCTCCGCCTCTCCTCCCGTACTCATTTAAAGCCTATTTTAGGACGGCATTAGACTCTCAGGGATGATTTCCTGGATGGAACTTATAGTCCAGGACGGCAAATGATTCTCAACGGAAAAGCCACCATTAACAGTAAAATTTAGTCCGTAGCTCGATTTAACCCTCGTCACGGAGGCAGAGTTTTGATGTTAGGAGTCGTAGAGCAGTTACGGCAGAATCATAGCACTATAGCTCAATTTGTTTTGAGCTGGTTACAGCAGTACGTCTCTATAATTGCTACAGAAACTTGCCTCGATGGTACATCTCTGCAGCGGGTTATCTGGTGGAGCTGCCTGTGCGCCTGAGGGAGGAAGTTAGCGAAAGAACACGGAATTATTTTCTTGTTTTGAGTGCTTACAGACAGTCTATTACTGCGGACATGCTTTTCGACAACAAAGAATGGAGCGCTCGTGCATGTCTGAAAATTTGAAGCGTGAAACTGACCTACAAAAATACACGGCCCATGATGTGAATCAGTGCTATTGTACATCCTCTCTCGAGGCAGAGAGCCAAAAATGTGTGTTTAAACAGTTAATCATGCGCATTGCACACACAAACAGTGAAGAAATTACTTCCTGGGTGAGCGTGATTGTTGTGTAGTTGGGTGTAAACTCTAGATATCAGTCAAAAAGAGTGTTCAATTTTTTACAGCTGAAGCTTTGCTATTAGCTTTGGAATACATTGAAAATGCACAACAAAAGGATTCTATAATTTTTACGGACTCTAAATCATGCCTTCAAGTACAGTAGCGCTTGCAGAAAAACAGTTTCCAAAAGTAGCTTGCATTTCCTATTGCTATTTTAGTACAG